TGGTCTGGGAAGTTTTCTCAGAGGAAATGAGTTTCTGTTCCCAACAATATTAGATTAATATTTTTATTACAATAGAAATGTTTAGTTGATAAAAGCGAGAAAAATATGGGTAAATGTGTTAAAGCAGCTACACCTGCCAAGAGGATCATAATTTCTTTTAAAAAATATTTTTAAACTGAACGGCCACAGTAACAAAGTTGTTCATGATTGGATTTCAGTCATACAATGTTCCAACACGATACCTCGAGAATCTTACTCTTACTATAGCTTAAGAGATGCTAATTGAAGGGCTAGAGAGATAGTATAGGGAGTATCTCCACCACTCCAGATGGTGTCTCAAGGCCATCAGGAGTGATCCCTGAGCACAATAGGTTTGGTTCAAAAACCGAAGAGAGAAAGAGAGAGAGAGAGAGAAAGAGAGAGACTAATTGCACTGAATGTTTTTGCTTACTCATTGATTACACCGTGCAGTTTTCAGGAGTCACTTCACAGCCTCATGCATACAAGGCACATGTTTCACCTCCTCTCAGGTCCTAAACAGAAAGACTGGCCTGAATTCAAACCTGGTGCTGCCAGCAATTGCTGAAGAAAACCTGACAGCCAGAGCCTGCATTGAGCAAGTGTGATGTCCAAGTTTCAACTTTGATGCACTGAGTTCATGCTAACAGGGCTGTGGTCTGGGGTTCCCTGGGAGGCAAGAGAACATACTGGTCTGTCACTGTCCTCTCGTTCATAGATTTGCTCGAGCGGGCCCAGTAACATCTCCACTGTGACACTTGTTACTGTGTTTGGCATATCAAATACCTCACGGGTAGCTTGCCAGGCTTTGCCGTGCAGGCGAGATACTCTCAGTAGTTTGCCGGGCTCTCTGAGAGGGGCGGAGGAATCAAACCTGGGTCGGCCTAGTCGCCCGAAGAGAACATAAATTATCATTAAAGGAATATATTTTTGTGTTAGTTTATGTTCTTTGGGCCATACCAAGCAGTGCTGAGGTTTGTTCCTGGCTTTGCACTCAGGAATCACTCCTGGTGGAGTTTGGGGGACCATGTGGGGTGCTGGGGATCGAACTCAGGTTTTTTATGTGCAAGGCAAGCACCCTACCCACTGTACTATAGCTCTGTCCCTAAAGGAATAAATTTAATTGACCTACCAGTAATTACATGGGGTCTCATTCCCCTGACCCTGAAGGAGTCACCAATACGGCAGCGTTGAGAAGGATGAGGAAGGAGAGGTTGATAAAATCTCAAAGCCAAACTAGGCTGCCAAAACGAAGAAAGACAAAAAATGATTGTCTGTACTTTCAATACACGTACGCTGGCATCAGATTCATCCATCAAGGACCTGATGGTACAAGCATGAAAGATCAAGTACGACATCATTGGTTTGACAAGAAGGCATCAATTACATCATGCTGTTTTCGACACTGGAGAAGAACTGTTCCTCGGAACATGCGACAAAAGAGGCATCGGAGGCGTCAGTGTCCTTGTCAACACGAACTTGGCCATGAGCATTGATTCATTTGAATTCCTAACAACCCGAATCACACAATTACACTTGAATAGATGTGGCTCACTGCCGGCAGTTTCTATCTTCATTGTCTATGCACCAACATCCAATTATGATGAAGGAGAAATTGAGGTGTTCTACATGGAGCTGGAGAAGTTCTATAAAGTAGACCACACCTTCTACAAGATCATTGTTGGTCATTTTCATACCAAGATAGGACCGAGAAGATCAGCCAAAGAACTGCACATTGGGACCCATGGCCTAGAATGGTACAAACAGGGTGAAAGACTGTCTCAGTTCAACATATCGACCAAGACCATCCATGGTAACTCACAATTCCAGGAGGCAGAATCTAAACGTTGGACATGGGAGTCTCCTGGTGGACGGTTCCACAACAAAATTGACCACATCATATTCAATTGATGGTTTTGCCTGACCGATGTTGCTGTTGTCCCAAAATTCCAAATGGGATCAGACCACTGTCTCCTTCTTGCAAAATTCTACTTCACAGAGCGGGGAGAAAGGGGAACAACCACCAACTGGGAGCTCTTTGGCACTACTGCAGCAACATGGGAAGATGCCGTTGTTGACGACATTGACGAGGAATATGATCAACTGGTTCAGTACCTCCATGATTGTGCAAGGAACGTCAAGAGAGAGATACCCACAAAAAAAAAATGCCTGTCTTCGAAAACTCTTGAGCTTATTCGCCAATGTGGTTTGGCGCATGCCACAGGCAACCACAAGCAAATGTCCGAGCTTGCAAAGCAGTGCAGAGATGTGATAAAGGAAGACCTCAAAAAGAGAAGAGAAGTGTTGCTAGATGAGGCAGAAGTCAGGAAAAGCATTTGTAACACCCGCCTGTCCTTCACCAACTACAAGACCAAGATGACTGCCCTCCGAAGTCCTGATGGATCTATCACATCTTCCAGAAGGGCAATGGAGAAGATTATCCATGACTTCTACTTGGATCTCTTTGATAGCCACGTCCACCTGCCCACGTACCAAATTCCGCAGGATGGATATGTCGTTCCCAATGTTATCCCTTTTGAAATCGGACATGCCATTTTGTCAGTAAAGAAACGAACAGCACCTGGCCCATACAAGGTCAGACCCGAACACCTGAAGAACCTGCCGTCAGTACTCATCAATATGCTGGCTCGGCTCTTCACACACTACCTGTCTGAATGCAAGGTTCTGTCCCAGTGGAAAACCAGCAGGACTGTACTACTGTACAAGAAGGGAGACATCCACGACATTGGCAACTATCGCCCGATCTGCCTATTGTCAGTCATCTACAAGCTGTTCACTTGAGTCATCCTGAATAGGATTGGCAGAACACTAGATGAAGGACAACCAGGCGAGCAAGCCGGGTTCCACAAAGGATTCAGCATGATCGACCATATCCACACGGTAACCAAGCTCATTGAGGTTTCTCAGGAGTTCAAGATGCCACTCTGTCCAACGTTCATTGATTTAAAGAAGGCCTTTGATTCTGTTGAGACGGAAGCAGTCATTGAAGCCCTAGCCAATCAGGGCATTCAAACTCAGTACATCAAGATCCTCTGTGAGCTGTATTGTGGATTCACTACCAGGATCTCACCATTCTACAAGGAAGTGATCATCCATGTCAAGAGAGGAGTTTGGCAGAGTGAGATCATTTCACCGAAACTCTTCAGTGCCACCCTCGAGAACATCATGCGACAACTGGAATGGGAAGGAATGGGAGTGAAGATAGATAGTTGGTAACTACACCACCTCTGCTTTGCTCATGACATCCTTCTAATGACACCAAACATCAGCCAAACAGCACAAATGCTGGCCAACTTCAACGATGAGTGTGGAAAGATAGGACTATAGCTGAATCTCACGAAGACAATGTTTATGAGAAACAAGTCTCATTCCTGATGTTCCATTCACTCTCAATGGAACGACCATCTCTGCATGCAACAGTTATGTGTACCTAGGTCGAGAAGTTAACATGACGAATGACCTGGCATCTGAGTTGCGCAGGAGGAAGAGAGTGGCTTGGAACATCTTCAAGAGCGTCGAAGAAATAGCTAAAGGACAAAGAACCTCCTCTTTGAGCACATCTCTTCGATTCCACTGTTCTTCCTGCATTAACGTACGCCTCAGAGACCTGGGCCTTACAAAAACAGGATGAGAATGCTATTCAGGTCTCCCAAAGAGGAATCGAAAGAGCTATGCTTGGAGTATCATGCTTCACTCAAATGAGAGAAAGAATCCGGAGTTCCGACTTCCATCGATGATCAAGAATCAGGGATGCTGTTTCGTTTGCCAAGGCATCGAAAATCAGATGGGCTGGACATGTAATGAGATTTGGAGACGACTGCTGGACTAGAGCCATTACAGACTGGATTCCACGGGGCATCAAAAGACTGTGTGGCTACCCACCTACCAGATGGTCAGACTTCTTCATCAAGACCCTGAATGATCAGTCTGAGGCTCTTCTTGTTCCTAGAACGAACAGACGCCATTGGGCTACACTAGCACGTGACAGGGACAAATGGAGATGTGACTGGTGCCCGCTTGAGCAGATCGATGATTAACCGGAAGTCAAGTGATCAAGTGACCTACTGGAAATAGCTTATAACCATGCCCTGATTAATGCGATAATTGCAACAAAAGTCTTAAACTTGCTTTAAAGGTGCTAGAGAAATAGTTACAGTGGGTAAAGTGCTTGCATTGATCCAACCAGGAATCAATCCCCTGCACCCCATATGATCTCCTGAGACTGCCTGGACTGATCCCTGAGTGCAGAGCCATAAGTAAGCCCTGAATACAGGCAGATGTGCCCGTTCCCAAATAAAACCTTGTTTTGGAGCTGGGATATGCATCTGTGTGTTTTGCTTATTTAAAAATTTTTATTTGGGGCCACACCTAGTGGTGCTTGGGTGCAAAGGGTGTTCAGGGCACCAAACCCAGGCTCTGTCATACCTATTCTCTAGGCCGATAATCGTCTCCTCCGTCTTTTGGATAAGATTTGATTGTTTTGATTTGGGTAGATCACAGGGAAGTCCGGGATCAAACCAGTCCTCCTGTATGCTGATTTCTTTGGACAATCCCTCTAACCACCTTTCAATGAACTTTCAAGAGTCAGCTGATGGAATTGTGGACAGTCAATGACTGCTTTTAATTTGAATCGCCAATGACGTTATTGTTTGGTGCTTAGTACTGTTTGAGTTAAAAGAAATGTACAGGGTTTAAAATTAAGTCAGCATCAAATGAAATGAGCTGTAGCAGTGTTCAGGGAAAGGGCAGGTGTGTGTAAACGCGAAGGTAGACATACATATTCTGGGAACAGCATGTAATGTATGACTGGAGGGCACCAGAACCTAGAAATGGCCAAACCTAATGGGTTAACGCTGGCGCACGCGGCCCAGTAAGTTTCAAAAGCCCTCTGGCTTTCCTTTCCCTCTTTCAGCCGACCCCGCCCTCTGGGGGGTAGAAATCGACCGAGGGGCGGAGCTTCATGGTCATCTCCCTGCGCCAGCCTCACGGCGCGCGGGGCTGGTGGCGCCCTCTAGTGACGTCACGACCATTGACAGCATGAGTCGGAGGCTGCTGCCATGGTGGTGGTGAACGTCCAGGTAAAGGTCCGAGTTCTCCTGGGACCAGGCGGCGTCAGAACGCGTGGGGGGAGGCCGGGATCTGTGACCCGCAGTGCCCTGAGGAGGGGCAGCGGGAGTTGGAGGCCCAGAGCGAGGCTGTAGGCTGAGGACCAGGGGGCGTGTGGAAGGGGCGGCTGTCCTGGGCTAGGGGAGTGGTAGGGGCCCAGGGAGGGCTGGCGGAAACGTGACCGTGGATGGAGGGTCAGGCATGGAGGGTCAGGCATGGAGGGTCGGCATGGAGGGTCAGGGCCTCCTGGCAGTTGGGAGCTCAGGCTTTGGGCAGAGGGCGACCTCCGGGGGTTCGGCTTTGCGGGTGGGGGTCCGCGCTCACGAACCTCTCCCTGACCCGGCGCGGGCTGCAGGTGCGGCATGTCTAGACTGGGGGCCTTCGGCGACGCCCGGGTCCGACTGGGGCTGCTGTTGGGCACTGCCGCGGGCCTGGGAGCCCTGTGTGCCCTTTACAGCCAGCGGTGGAGACGGACCCAGCGCCATGGCCGGAGCCAGAGCCAGAGGCAGAGCCTGCCCAACTCCTTGGACCACACGCATACCGCCGAGCCCCGACGCCAGGGTAGGAGGCAGCCACAGTCGCGGCTGATGGGAGGAGCTGGGGGCCCAGGAGGCCCGCGAGCATTGGTGGGACAGGACCAGGAGTGGGGCACCTGAGGGGGGCACCCTTTTAGAAAACTTACTGGAAAGGAAAGCAGCCTTCTGTGCCCTTTCCCCATAAAACCTGGAACCTCTCTGGTGAAGGAATTTAACTTTCACTTTTAGTTTTTGGCTACAGTTGTGCGTGGCGGTGTAAAAGGCACGTGCTTCATACCGGGTGAGGCGATTGATACTAAGTAAAGGAAGAGTTCAACAGAAAGGAAAAGGAATAACCAGTCTCGTGGGACTTTGTAAAAAAAAAAAATGTCTTCATATTCCGGTCGAGGATGGTAAGGTGGGGCGTGCTTGCCTCCCACGGAACTTTCCAGGGTTGGTTCCTGAAGTCAGAGCCAGAAGTAAATCCCTGAGCACTAATGGATGTGGCCCGTTCCACCCCGAAAATGTCTTAAAATTTGGAGTCTGGGGGACCCGAGCAATAGTATAGCGGGGAGGGCGTTTGCCTTGCATGTGGGCACCTGGGTTGTATCCCGGCATCCAGTATGGTCCCCCAAGCACGACCAGGAATAACTCTTGAGTGCAGAGCCAGGAGTAACCCCTGTGCATCGCTGGGTGTGAACCAGAAAGCAAAAATAAAATAAAATGAAATAAAGATTTGGGGCCTGGAAGAGAACTCAAAAGGTGAGGACTGAATTCTATTCTACCATCACATGGTTTTCTGAGCACTGCCAGATGTGAGCCTAGATCAAAATCAAAATAATAGTCATATAATTAAGATTTACAGTTACGTATTGGAACTAGAAAGAACCTTGGACACTATCTACTAGTCTTTCTTTTTCCATTTATGAGGAAATCGTAATTTTAAAAGATTGTGTAATTTTCCTGAGATTGTCACAGAGCAATTAAAAGGCAGGGTTGAGCCTGGTCACTGAGGCCAGTGGACTTTCCACAGCCCAGGCTAGGCTTGATCTTAGTGCAACTGAAATCAACGCTGGCTGGAAGCCAGCCACTGCCACAGCAGCTGAAATGCGTGGTGCTTTAAGTGTGCAAAACATTTTCTTTGAGGTGGGAATCACACATAGAGATTTCGGGGGCTACTCCTGGCTCTGTTACTCCCAGTTTTGTGCTACCCAGCGGTAGTATACCCATAGTACCAAGGATTGAATCACGTCAGCTGCACACAAGGTCAGCACCTTCACCCCTGTGTGCTCTCTGACCCCTGCAAACCTTTCCTGTTAGCTCATTAGAGTAGAGCATCTACAGCTGGTTCAAATCATCCCTGCAAGTTCCTGTAATAGAGGCTCATCCAGCAACTCTCACCCTGTGTTTATTGGGAATGAATATTTTTCTTTCATTACAATGCCAGATGGTCTGGAAGTTAGTTTTATGAGAGGCTTCAGAGAGTTAGCAGCTCAGATTGCAGTGCCTTGTCAGTATTTTATGACCTGGTAGTAGCTTGTTTTTCCTTCCTTTTCCTTTTCTTTTGTTCATTTGTTTCTAATTTCCTAGCAGTCGTCTTTCTTCTCCTGAGGCTGGGAAAAGTCACTGTGTTCCCAGGGATCTTCCTTGCCCTGTGTTCTTAAATATTCTTGCTCATCTGGTCAAGATTGCTACTAGATTCCATTCATAGATCTATGCACCTTGACTGTGCACACTGTCTTCCTGGTTTTTCTTTCTTTTACATTTTCCAGTCCAGTTGCCTGAGGCAACATTACTAGCATTGCCTTCAGGGTAAGAGTTACCAGAGCTCAAGACTTGCCCTGACGAGCTTGGAATCCATGTTTATCCAATAGGACTGGGATGGGTTTTTTTTTTCCAGGGTAGCTTTTCTCTTTGCCCCCTGTCTGATGACACTCAAGTTTTCTTTCCGCTTGTTTTTTTTTTTTTGGCCACATCTGCTGGTGCTCATGGTTTATTCTTGCTCAGGGGTAACTCCTGGTCGTCCTCTGGGGACCCTCTGATCCAAGGGTCAAACATGCAGGGCAAGTGCCTTGTCACTGAACTCTCTCTGGGCCCCCAGCAGCATGTGTTTGTGACTTTTTGGTGCATGAGTCTTTCCTCCGCTCCCCCATGGGTCTCACATCACTTGTTCTCCTTTCCTCAGTGCCGCAGCTGCGGGGGGTCCCCGGGGAGGCCGGAGACGCGGCCGTGCTGTCCAGCCTCTCGGAAGCGGGGCAGGTTCAGGTGCTGGAGCGCCTGGACTTCGTGCTCAGCAGTCTGGTGGCCCTGCGGCGGGAGGTGGAGGAGCTGAGGAGCAGCCTGCAGGGGCTCGCAGGGGAGATTGTTGGGGAGGTCCGGTGAGTCATGCAGCCCCTCCTTCTGCATTGTTTGATGCCCCCCAACTCCCTCCTCTGCAGCTTCTTCAGCTCAGGTGACTTCCAGCCTTTACTGTGTGACTTCTAGCCTTTAGAGCACCCCATTTGTTGGTCCTGGGCCTCCAACAAGTTCTTTGCTGCTTTGCGGCCCCGTGGTCTGTGTTGCTGCTAAAGTGCAATATTCTGACTTGCTCTGCTCCTCCCGGCTGGGGACTGGATTCTGTCCTGCCTGCTTTTCCGGGGCAGACACCCAGGGTTAGCTCCTCGCTCATCCCTCTGATGAGAAGACTCCCCTTCTATCAAGGACAGAGGCTGAGGGTCTGAAGGCACCCTTTAGAAAGAGAAGGGTTCTGTTTTTCAGATCCCACTTGGAAGAGAACCAGCGAGTGGCTCGGCGGAGAAGATTCCCATTTGCCCGGGAGAGGAGCGACTCCACTGGCTCCAGCTCCGTCTACTTCACAGCCACATCCGGAGGCGGGTACACGGATGTGGAGAGCGAAGGCGGGTGAGTCGTACCCCAAGAGACCTCAGTGCCTCCCACCAGCTCCTGCTCAGTGCAGGAGTGTGTGTCCATGGAAAAGGCAGGGCAGGCTGCTGAAAGCCATGTTGGGACAGAGGTGTAACTTGATGCAGATCACCTGAAAATAGGAACACTGTTTCCCATATGTCAGGCAGAGGGAATGTGGACAGGGGTTAGTGCTTGTATCTGGCGAGTTCCTCAGCATTGATTTTTTGGCCCTTACATTTACTTGTCATTTTTGTTTTCCCAAAACACTGGTGGGCCTGTTCCTGGGTTACCTCAAGGTCTGGGTAAGACTAGGATTACGATTGCTTCCTTGGCTGGGTGACAGGGCCAGGTTTGCGGTTCTGTGAGCACTAAAGGACACTGCTTGAGCTCTCCCCGAGGTGTTTCTCTCTCCTGAGTTGGGGGGAGCCCCAAGCTCGTACATGTGCCTGGCCATCTATACCGGTGGTGGGGGGCGGGGACTGTTCTTCTGAGTTAGTGACAAAGCAGCTCTGACCACAGGCCTTCACTTCCTAGCAGGTGGTGGGCAGTCTTCCTGCCCAGCCAGTGGAAGGGCTTTTACATCAGATAATTGAAAAATATTTTTATTCGAAGCTGGAGAGATAGTACAGCAGGTAGGGCACTTGACTTGCACATGGCCAACTCTGGTTCTATCATTGGCACCACATATGGTTTTCCAGGCCCTGACTGGAGTGATCTCTGAGCACAGAGACCGGAGAAAGCCCTGAGAGCACTGTTGGGTGTGGCCCCTCAGACAAAAACAAAATAAAAGTAAACCAGAGTGATCTCTGCAGAAATGTCTCTTTAATGGAAATACTTTAGAGAATTTAGCACTCCAGGCTGCGTAGAAGCTCAGAGTCTAAAGCATGTGCTTTGCATCAGGGAGTTCAGCATTCCTTCCCTGGCCCCTGGGAATCGCTGACTCCCAGGCACCACGCCAGGAATAGCTGCACTTGGTGAGCTTCAAGTCTTGTTCTTCTGACAGCACAGTTCATCTTGTGGGGATGGGGGAGGGGCTCTGCTCCCAAGGCAGGGTTTGGTGGTCAGGCCCAGAAGTGTTTTCATAGGAAGGCAGGTCCTGACAGAGCTTGCGAGTTCTTCCCATTGACCAAGAGCTCATGTAGCAATACAGTGTTCAGTATACCTTGTGATTTTGGCCACACCTGGTGGTGCTTGGGGCATTCTCCTGGCTCTGTGGGGCTTGGAGGGCCATATGGGGTACTTAGGATCAAATCCAGGTTGGCTTTGGTTGAAAGCTTTATGGCTCAAATCCATAGAGCAGATGCTTTATCCCTGTATTCTCTGGTTCTTAGCTTGTTTTCTTATTTGGGCTATTATATTTCCTTTCTTTCCTCATTGGTTGGTAAGAGAATTAAGTATTGCGCTCTTTTTCTGGGTCACTGCCAGTATTCAGATAGTCTTATTGTTCAGCTTCTTCTCGAAACGCGTCTTGATGAGGCTTTAGCCCTTCACACTTACTGTTTCCTGGGCTGCCTGATCCCTGTTGTAATCTCAGGGAGCAGCAGCAGTAGGGTCGTTTTCTTACCTCCCACCTCTGGCCAAGATGGTTCCCAACGGCTGCTAGAGGAAATGAGCATTGACCGTGGGTTGCAGAGAAGCGCAAGAAGCAGCAGCAGAGAGGATTCACAGGCATTGGAGCGTCTGTGTGCTCTAAGGAAGAAGGTCCCTTGGGTGAGGAACTGACACTGGAGATTTTTCAGAAGGGACAACAGATGTGGTTACAACTCTGCCCAATTAAGGATGTAGAACTCAAGGCCCTTAAGGACTTTTAAGAATTTAACAGGGCTGATGTGGCTCAGTGGTAAACACATGCCTGGGTTCAAGTTCTTGCACTGTATCAAAATAAAAACATAGTGTTCTCAGTTATCATTTATTTATTTATGTTTGAATGGGGTGGGTTGGCGGGGGTCATACCTGGTTCTTCTCAAGGCTTACTCCTGGCTCTGTGCTCAGGGTCACTCCTGGTAGGTCACGGGGTACCACATGGGTACCTATATGCTGGGGATTGAACCTGGGTTGGCAGCCTGCAAGGCAAGCTCCCTACCTGCTGTTCTATTGCTGCCCACCCCCACGCCACCCCCGCGTGTTTTTTTTGGTAGTGCCTGGATTGAACCTAGATCTCAGGCATAAAGTTGTATAGATTTCTGAATCAGTGAAAATCAGTTTTTAGCCAGAGAATTTGTCGGTGCCTCTTTGCTTGTGGAATTTACCAGGTCTCCCAAAGCCTTAAGGCTTAGGACCAGTTCACAGCCATGGAGGATGGGGTGGGTGGAGGGAGGCTTGCTTTTCCATTCTGGACCATACCCAAGCGGCTCCAGATCTCACATACAAAGCATGCACTGTAGTCCTGAGCAATTTCTGGTTTAAGACAAGCTTTAATCTCTCCTGCTCCTTTCCTCTTTCCTTTTTTTTTGGGTAGGGACTGGGGCCACATCCTGAATGTTCTGGGGTTTTTCCTGGCTCTGTACTCAGGAATCACTTCTGGCTATGCTTGGGGGAACCATTATTTAAATGATTTACAGTACTGATAATGGTAGAGTATCAATGTAAAGTGTAAAACTTCAGCACACACCCTCCACCCAACCAGAATGTCCACTTCCCTCTACCACTGTCCCAGTGCCCGGTCTCCCTCATCTCCTTTGCAGTGTTACACTTCCTACTAAAGACCAATTCTTTTCTGTTTTTTGTTTTGCTTGGAGGCCACACCCAGCAATACTCAGAGGTTACTTCCTACCTCTGCACTCCTGGCAATGCCTGGTGTTCCTTGCTTGGGGGGCGGGAGATGCGGGGTACCATATGGGATGCTGGAGATTCTGGCTGTGTGCACGGTAAGTGCAGTACCCATGATACTATCCCTCTGGTGCCTAAAGATCAATTCTTAATTTCTGTTGCTTTGAGCATTTGTTCTTATCATTTTTTTGGAGAGGATGGCCCATACTTGGGTGCTCAAGACTGCTCCTAGCTTCGTACTTAGGGGTGTTGTCTGCAGTTGGTGGGTGTGTGCATTTTGGTGGTAGGGAGTGTGGCCTCTGCTGCAGCTCCAGCATACTAGTTCTGGTGTGATTCTTGCTGAGTCGGCTGCTCCCTGGGTGGCAGCTGTGCTGTAGTATTCTTGCCTCTCTCAGTGCCCCTAGGTCAAGGAAATTCTCAGACAGACACAGGAATGGCTTTGAACATGGGGCCCGCGGAAGGAGCTCATCTGAGGGGTACATGGCTAGGATTTGACGGCTCCTCCACTGCTGAAAGCTGTTGGCCCTTTCTCCAAATACAACAGCAACTCCGAGCTCCCAGGGACTCGACCACCTGTGGACATGTGAGAGACCCATGAACTAGTCCCCTGAGCATTTGACCATGGCTTCATCCTCCTGGCAAAGCAACCTGCCTGAAAGCAGCTGCCCTGGCCAGCCTTTCCAGGTGCCCCAGCATGCCACTTCCTGTCCTCTCAGGCATTTATCTTTCCTCTGGGTTGGTCTTATCTTCCCTACCATTGAGAGTCAGGGTAGGGCTCATGCCTGGTTGTCTTTGATTGTCACAGCTCAGCCCCTCTGAATGAGACTTAGAACTGGAAGAGAATTGTCAGGAGGAAATAAGTGATAAGTGCCAGAGAGAGAAGGGGGTGTGGGGGGGAGGCGGTGCCTAGCATTCAGCCAACCCCTGTTCTCTCCTTACCACTGCAGATAGCCCCCAGGCCCCACCCAGAGTGAGCTCTGAGAATGGGTGGGTGTGGAGCAGCTTCCCTACCCCCAAAAGAGCACGAGTCCTTTATCACCAACGCAGTGTCTCAAGTTGACTGTGGCACCCTGGTTCCTTGCCCACCGTGGGAACTGTGTTATATCTGGGTCCACAGATCTAATGGGGCATTCCGAAGACCCCTGCCAGTCCGTGATCATCCCCTAAACTATAAGGCATGTTGACTGAAGCTTCCACAGCTGGCAGATTTCTCCCGGGATGGCTGGGTAGGCAGAGAAAACGAGGCTGGTGAGGCGCTCAGGGCTGCAGAGCTACACTGCCTTCCTACTCACTGTTTTCCAGGCAGTGACACATCGGGGAGACTGAGCTCTGTGAAGTAGGACAGGGGTGCAATACCGGCGTTCTTACTGCCACTGTCCATGCTCACAGCTCTCAGTGGTGGCAAGTCCCCTGGTGCCTGTGCTCCCTAGCCCAGGGGACCCAGAGTATCACAGCATTGTGGACTGTGCTGTCCTCGGCTATCAGACACTGCTGGCTGCTGTGAGCACCAATAGGGTTCCAAGAAGGGTGCCTCATGCTGAACTCCTGATTAGCCAAATCAGTCTTCTCCCAACAGGAACTGGGGAGATGGCTAGATTCAAGCTTTCTACCCCAGCACCCTACTTTGCACATTGGTGGACTCTGGACTTGTTTGCACCTGTGGGTCCATGTTTGAGTCTTAGAGGATGGGCTGGAAATGAGGTGCTCTGTATGGTCCTGCTCATCCCTATGCAGGGAGGTTGTGAATTCGGATGCCTTGCTTCTCCTTGACCCTTGATCTCAAGTTTTTATTGAGATTGGGGATGGGGACACTTGGCTAACCTAACCTCTTGGAGCCCTTGGTGTAGGGCTTACGTCCCAAACGGGCTGCTCTATAGTGACATCCCTGGGCACTTCGGTTCCATGGGCCTGGAAGCGCCTCTCTGAAGCCCTGTCATGTGTTGGCTACCCTGGCTGTGTGCTTTCAGGGAGTCTGGTTTCCTGGTGAGAACAGCATTTGGCCTGTATTTCGCTGCTGGCTTTAGGTCATCTTGCTTCCTTGATTCGGACATATCTTCTTCATCTCTGTTGTGCTCCGACCATAGTACAGAATTCCTGCGCCACATTGCAGGTGGAGGAAGACTCTGACCTAAATGATACTGCAGTATTTCTTCCCTGTTCCCCTTTCAGCCCCGAGGCTCCCAGTACCTGACTCTAGTTCCAGAAGTCTTCCCATCTCCCCTCTGTATCTGTCTGTGTCTGTTCAATTCTTGTGGCAGTTACAAAGTTGGTGCAGGCTGAGATCCACGAGAACCCAGGCGTCCTCATCAGGGGTACATCAGGCTTGGGGCTCCAAGGAGGTATCTGCCATCAGACACTGTGTCAGCCCCCAGGATGCCTTCTCAGGGACTTGTTTACATCTTCCTCTCCTACCTTTGCTGCAAAAGGTACCCCTCCCCCCAACTCCCAATGGCTCCTCGACTGATTGCAAATTTGGAACAAAGGTACACAGTGAATTGAGAAACTGGGTAAATGTGGCTGCCCGTAGCCTTAGAGACTGGCACCCACCCACGTTGGTTCTAGCAGGTGCCTTTGATAAAGCAAAAATGACTGGCAAACTCTTAGCCTGATGATCTCAGATTAGCTCCTCCTGCACTTTTGGCTTATTTGGCGCTGGGGCCTCACTTGGCAGTGCCCCAGGGACTGTGTGTGTCCAGGATTGAATGAGGAGCTTCATCATGCAATGCATGAGTCATTTTCCCATTTTCCACCTACATGTATTTTAAAATTTTAAATGTCTTCCCTTTTTTTGGCAGGGGTAGAGCGAGTGGGTCACACCTGGTGGTACTCCTGGCAGGACTCGGTGGATCATATTTGGTGCCAGGGATAGAACCTGGGCTGGCCACATGCGAGGACAGCGCTGTACCTGCCGTACTCTCTCCAGCTCACATTTCCTTTTCTATTTATTAAGAGTAATAAATGCTCACCAAAGCAATCATATGCTCTAAAATCTTTGAGCATAAGAGACTTTGATCTTTCTGAGATGTACTGGCAGCATTTTTGTTGGGCATCTTCTCTATCCTGGCAGTCTTGGTGGCATCTAAGCAGGGTTCTCTCCTCATGGGAGCTGTCACACGGTCTCCAGGTGATCATTCTATTTTTTTTTTTTTTTTGCTTGTTGGGTCACACCCTGCGATGCACAGGGGTTACTACTGGCTCTGCACTCAGGAATTACTCCTGGTGGTGCTCAAGGGACCATATGGGATGCTGGGAATTGAACCCGGGTCGGCCACGTGCCAGGCAAACGCCCTACCCGCTGTGCTATCGCTCCATCCCCCTCCAGGTGATCATTTTGACCCTACGGATGGGACCGTTTTCCCACCCTAGAGTGCCTAGAGGTTATTGATCTTTCAGGAATCCACGTTTGTCCATCTGCAGTGGGCAGGGAATAGACTGAGCCAAGCCCCTCCCTTTGACCATGTTCCTTCCATCTCTCTGTCCCAGCTATACCACAGCCAATGCCGAGTCTGACTATGAGCGGGAGTCTGACCGGGAGAGTGAGGATGGGGAGGATGAAGTGAGCTGTGAGACTGTGAAGATGGGAAGGAAGGATTCGCTGGACCTGGAGGTGGCTTTGGGCCCAGTGCCCGGAGTGTTGGAAACAGAAGGCTCCCTTGGCCTGGAAGACGCTCTTCCCCTCCTGCAGCAGGCGGACCAGCTACACAGTGGCAACGCACAGGACAAACGTGAAGGCTTCCAGCTGCTGCTCAACAACAAGCTGTCGGTGAGGCCCCCGCTCTACCTGCAGGCAGACCCCTGCCATTGTTGACTCTGGATTGGATAGAGAGGCAGCTGGCTGTGCTGCTCGCAGTCAGGGGCACAACCTACTCTTAAGTTGTGTGTACTGCTTTGGCCATTGTAGCATCTGTCCCAGAGCCGCCTCTAGAGGGCACTCTTTTGCCTCACGCAGCTAGCACTGCTAGAGCCCAACCCTTCACTTGCCACTGGTGAGGAGTCACTGGAAGATGATCTTCCTTTTATTTCCCTGAGGCGGAGCCCAAGGGGTCTTCCCAGTTAAATTTCAAATATGTCGTAGGTAACTAAGTAGAGGTCACTAGAAGACCAGATTCCTTTTTCTTAGGTCTCCTGCAAAAACGTAGACTCACCCAAGTGTACAATATCCCCAGTGTTAAAATGTTCATATTTCTTGGATAATTTTCACTTTCATCCCCTGGCTCGGCAAAACTGCCCTCTTGCTGAGGCTTATCACAGCCAGGCATTGCCTTTTCCTTAGCATTAGGAGCCCTTACGTGGTTGTGCGGCCTCTTGGCTGGAGGCATGACCAGAGGTGACCATACATGGGTGTTGTATGGTGGGGAGGGCACAAAGCCTGGTGTGATATTTGGTAACACACTCGTTTAGAAACACAGAGCTAGGCTGTTGGGGGAAGGCAGAGGTCCAAGTCTGCAGCTGAAGGAAGTGGGGCCTCCCCCCTCTGTTTGGTCTGCAGTACACGGGTCTGCAGGACTTCCTCTGGCGCCTGGCCAGGGCCTACAGTGACATGTGTGAGCTCAGTGAGGATGTGGATGAGAAGAAGTCCTATGCCCAAAATGGTAAGTGCTGACAGCTTCCTGGCTGATTGGCCTGTCCATGGGGGACCCAGCGGAAGGTTCTCAGAGCACTCATGGCTCAGTTTTTCACCAGGAACAAATCAGCCCCAGGAGACTCTGCTTCCTGGCACAAGGCAGTTCCTTAGTAACACAGGTGCATGAGTTCTCAAGAGTCATTCACTATAGTAGCAGCTTTTTCTTTTGGGCACACCAGGCGGTGCTCAGGACATACTTCAGCTCTGCTCAGGGATCACTCCTGGTTGGGCCTGGGGGAACATCTGTGATACCAGGGACTGAACCTGTGTAGGCTGTGTGCAAAGCGAGCACCTAACCCCCAATATTGTCTCTCCAGCCACCTTCATGATTCCTTCTTAGTCTGGAGGGCTGGTTTGGGTTGCTGCTTGGCAACCTGTTTTTATGGATGGTGACTATGGGGCAGAAGCTCTAAGGATCTGAGTGCCTGGAGGGAGCACGCTGCTAGCTCAGAAATCCCTGAGGCATACACAGCACTGCTGCCTATTCCTCAGGGTAGGGGACATTCACTGCTCAGGTTTTACAGCTACCTCTGGAGTCCCAGCTGAGATAGTATAGCAGGTAGGCTACTTCCTTTTCGCGTGGTTGACCCAGGTTTGATCCCTAGCACCATATTTGGTCCTCTGAACTCTGCAGGAATAATCCTTGAGCACAGAACCAGTAGTAAGGCCTGAATACTGTTGAGTGTGGCCTCCAAACAAAACAGGCCTAGCTGGGGAGGGGTTGGTGGGAGCTAAAGCAGTCCTTCCCACAGGTCTTATGATAAAGCATGAAGGGGAATCCTGATCAATTCTGGATTGCCTTTGTCCTGCAGGGAAAGAAGCAGCAGAAGCAGCTCTGGAGAAGGAAGACAAGAATGCTGCGTGTCACCAGTGGTAAGGACACCCCACAGGGTCCTGGGAGGAGCCTCGGGCCTAGCAGGAAGAACCCTTTCCTGTTCTAGCCCTAAGGGCATTTGACAGAGGACTCAGAAGAGGGAGCTCTGGCCTTACTTGCTTAAGCCCTATCCTAGCCCCAGTCAAGATTTCTTTGAGATGCACACACTTTACTTGTGAGGATGAGATGAAGGGGAGTGTAAACCTTTTCTGCTGGGGCTTGGGAAATGAGTAGTTTTTTTAAGAGCCATTCTAACTAAAATCTGTGGGCTTTTGGCTTCTCAGGGAGGCTGGGACAATTTGCAGCTTCCTGCTCAAGCATCTTTCCCCAGCTCTGATCCCTGGCTGTCATGGATATTGGCTTCTTTGCTTAGCTATCAAGAGGAAAAGTAGATATGAGCTCACTCTGGGAAGTTCACAATTAAAATTTATTAAAAGTTAATTTATTGCTTAAAAAACATAACCCGTTTGTGGTCAAACTTACGACAATTTGCATAGATTAGCATCAGTTTGTTCCCTGGTTCCACTATCTTAGATTTTAATTTTTTTGGGCCACACCCAGCTGTGCCTTGGGGGACTATATTTGTGGTGTCAGGAATCAAGCCTGAGTCAGCAGCATGCAAGGCAAACAAGCACCCTACCCACTGTACTTCAGCCCCTTATTTTGGCTTTTTGGATCATACCTGGTGATGCTCAGGGGTTACTCCTGGTTCTGCACTCAAGAGTTACTTTTGGCGGTGCTTGGGGAACCATATGGGATGCTGGGGATTGAACCAGGGTTGGTCCATATGCAAGGCAGGTGCTCTGCCTGCTGTACTATTTCTTCGGCCCAGCACCTCAGGATTTAAAAAATGTTTTGGGGCCATACCTGGCTGTGTTCAGGGAACTGTATATGGTGCCAAGGATCAAACCTGGGTTGGCCATGTGCAAACCAAGCTCCCTGCCCAATGTTCTAATCATTCTGGGGCTCCAGAACCTCAGAGTTAAAATTAAGATTTTTTTCTTTTTGAGAGAGGGGAGGGAAAGGGAGGAGGGAAGGAGGGAGAAAGAGGAAGGAGAGGGAGAGACAGAGACATTTGCTTTTTAGTTTCTACAACACCTATAGATATATACAAGATGGGAAATTTGGACCAAGACCTTGCCTAAATATTAAAGAGAAATTTACCATGGAAGACCCAGGATTTTGAAAAAACTGTGAGCCTATTACTCTGTTTACACACATGAACTGGGACAACATTGAGTGATAGACAGGGGGAAGTATTTTCAGTTCTAGGTGAGGGGGAAGTGCAGTTAAACCCAGCCCTTGTCTTTGAGCTTGCTGCTGCGTTTTGCCTTTAGGTATGCAGTGCTTTGTGGTCAGCTGGCTGAGCATGAAGGCATGCAGAAACGCATCCAGAGTGGCTTCAGCTTCAAGGTGAGGAAAGGAAGTGTCCCCCCTGTACTAGATTATCTCAGAACTCTTGGCTCTGTCCTAACTCTTTGTGAAGGATGTTTCCACATTTTGATGATTTATATCTTCCCTTAGTCATTCTTTCATCTCTGATGTTCGTTTGTGTTTGCAATTTCCTCTGCAGGAGCATGTGGACAAAGCCATTGCTCTCCAGCCAGAAAACCCCATGGCTCACTTTCTTCTTGGCAGGTGGTGTTATCAGGTGAGCTACAGGTTCAGAGCTAAACCAATGTGTCCTAGAGTGAGTGACCTCCTGGCCAGGAGAAACAGGGTCCTGTCTGGCTCAGGTGCCATTTTTCTCCGAAGTCTTAATAATGACTGGACCCAGGCCCATTTAACTTTGTTTTTAGTAGAGAATATTCATGTACCTAAAGATACTGTTCACATTTCTTTTGGTGCCAGGTCTCTCACCTAAGCTGGCTAGAAAAAAAAACTGCTACAGCCTTGTTTGAAAGCCCTCTCAGTGCCACTGTACAGGATGCCCTGCAGAGCTTCCTAAAGGTATCAAAAGGGAGGGAGGGACAGTAGCTGAAAATGCCAGGATGGGGCCAGAGAAATGGCTCAAAGGTTGGAGATCCCGGCACTGCTGAGCCCAAGCAAAATGGCAACGACAGGGCCCTATGTTCAGGCAGTGAATACAACTGCTTGATTGGTTAGCTATTTCTAGAGGTGTGTTTCCCCTGCCTCCAAAATGCCAGGATGGATAATCTTATTTTTTATTGGGAGAGATTTCTGAGATGGGGTTATTGTACACCTGCTTGTTGTATGGAAAAGTCAGAAGAACCATCTGGAAGACTTAAAAAATATAAAAACGGATTCCCAGACCAACTCAGTGGGGATCCAGGTTGGGGATTGAAAACCAGTTACTGAGTTCCACCCTCCTTTTTCCAGGCAGAAGAACTACAGCCAGGATTTTCCAAAGCAGGAAGAATATATATCTCCAAGGTAAACTCACTGGCCTTTTTACAACACAGATGAGTATTTTTGAGCCCTGCTGTACTATCGCTCCGGTTCTGAGAAAATTACAGATGGTGTTTCTCCTAGGTTTTCTTTTGTTGTACTTTGGGTCATACCTGGTGATATTGGGGATTGAGCCTGGCCCTGTACTCTCCCAGGCTCTTATTTGAGGTTGTTTTCATTATCGTGTCTTTTCAGTGCTATAAAGAACTGGGGAAAAACACTGAAGCTAGACAGTGGATGAAGCAGGCTCTGGAGCTGCCAAATATCACTAATGAGGTAATAGGAGTTTTTCTAACGCTGAGTCCCATAAATTTTCCATGGAGATACTTTTGTGTGCATTTCACCAATGGGAGGAGAAAGACTACAACAAAGTTTAGGATGGAAGCAAAGGGCCTTTTGTCTCAGGAACCAGTGATTTGGAAAATGACTTAGATTTTGTGTTTTAGGCTCTTTTGGGGGAGGCACTCCTGCCAGTGCCTTAACCCTTACATTATCTTTTCCCCTTTGTTTCCTTAGGACTCAGCTTTCCAGAAGGACTTGGAAGAACTGGAAGTAATTTTAGGAGAATAATCATTTTGATGGCCTTTATGACTGAAAAGGATATTACTGTTTGCAGGAGGAAAATCAAGTCTTTTTCCTTAGGCCCTGCTTACATAAGGAAAATGATTAAGAGTGGTTATTGGAGAATCTCAGCTCCTGAGTCTTGACTGGTACCTTCTATCATTCCACCAATTTCTTGCTTTTATTGTCAATGGTTAATTTATTTAAATCCTTACTTAATTTGAGATTGGGGAAGTACTTGCGGCCCGGGATTCTGTTCTCAACTTCTTAAGTGAATTTAAAAAATCAAGACTAGTTGAGCACCGAAGACTGCTTTCTGACCTGCTGTTGAGGCAGATGAACAACTAAGAGCGATAGGAACAAAATACAGAACTTGTACTTTAATATTTAACACCAAAGTATAAAATCCTAAGATAACAGCCTACCTGCCAAGATAAAAATGTAGGCAGTTTGGTCACGGGAGACACGCCCTCTTCTCACCTATCATGTAGAATCTAACAATATTCCTGGACAGACCATTTGACTTCCAGAGTCTGGCAGCTTTTGGAACAAGGGCATGTGATAGAAAGTTTATGAGATTGTGAAATGATATGAAGAGTTGCCTGAAATATATTTTGGTATAAAATGTGAATAAACCAAATTTGAAGTAATCATATTCATTTTTGGGGGGTTTTGGGGCCATACCTAGAGGTGCCCCGGGGGACCATATGTGGTGCTGGCCACATGCCAGGCAAGTGTCTTAACCTCTGTACTATCTGTCTGGCCCCAGCTCCTTACTCTTGACACCTCCATAAATGTTTTTCCACTATAGACACTATTGCACACAAATAGAAGGTCACAACCAAATAGTTTTAACTAGAGAACTGTTTCTAATGAAATTCTAGTTGTCATTTGTAAAATATAGGCAAACAGCTTGGTCTAACTAGGCCTACTACAACTGGTATTTATTAAACCTGACCCCACTTATAAGAAAATTAAGACAAATTTCTTTTTGGGGGGCCACACCTAACAGTGCTCAGGGCACTATTTGGGTTGCGGGAGTCAGCTGTGTGCAAGCAAACACACTATCCACTGTATTGATCCTCCGGCTCCAAGACAAATTTCTAAGTCACTTAACTATTTGAGGTGCTTTTATACAAACCAAGATTCATTCCAGAATCTGTGGCTTTATTATACCACCCCAGGTTTGTTTTCTGAAGTGTATGCCATTCTCTAAAGCAGTGGTTTTAATCTGACCCAGACTGGAAGTTGAGAGCCACTGTTCTGAAGGAAGTCAAGAAACAGAACTTAGAGCACTGACTGTGTTCTAAGGATTAACATAAGCGATTATCTGACAGGCCTTTGAAAAGCAAGAACAATACCTCAAATCCCTGAAGTAGAGTATCTAGGCAAATACCGTATCTCTTTAATTCAAGGCTATTAGGATACAAAGGTCACACGAAGGCTATGGTATATCATTACAATATTATCAAATAGGTTAAGTGACAAGTAAGCACAACGATTTGAACATAGGTTTTTCCCTTTTAAATGTTAAAACAATAGGAACTAATCACGCAATCAGAAAACGGCATCATGAATAGCCTTATTCAGCAATATAAAGCTTGAACAATAATGTGTATAACACAGTAATTAACTACTTCATTAGCAGTTCCACACCGAACCTACTTAAATGAAAGTACTGAATTTATCTTGAGTTGGTCTTAGCAACAAAACCAAGCAAGTAGATGGTGATGGACTGGTGGCCAGTACTCCTTAACTAAAAAGAAATTTTTGCGTGAGTTAATTCTGCCATATTAACTTAAAAACCTGCTCTTAAGTGGTAAAGTTTTACTGACAAGAAAAAAACCTGTGAGGCCATCCATTCCTTTTGGCTATAGAGTGCAGGCATATTTCTTCAGTTCATTCAGGTGAAATGAGAAGAGACAGATCTTCCAGATTTAGTTCTTTTAGACTGTCCAGAAGACAGCTATTAGTCCTGAGTTGACTCCATACTAAAGGTATTCTGTACCCCTCCACCAAACAATTCACACAGAATATACTCTAGAAGGTGTAGTAAACATTTCAGGTCAGCTTGTGACTACCGACCTGTCTCTTGTTTACACCATCAAAAAGCTGGTACATGAGTTGTTTTCCTGGAAACTTTTTCCTGGCAGTCACAAGAGGCATGTGAAGAACCTGAGGGACTTAGATTCTCCATTAGGCTGCAGCTCTTAAGGTCTCTCACAGGAAAATTCTGAAAGATTAGTCTTTGGCATCTCCTACTCCATCGGCATTGATGGCAAACATAGCTTCCGCCTCAGGAAGACAGGGAGAATCGTAGATTTTGCAGATTCTGGTTTCCCCTCTTCCCTTCCTCAGATACAGTCTGGACAAAAACACAGCAAAGCACCAGTTTTTATAATTAAAGCAATACTATTTATAGTAGATTTGAAAACATATACCCATATATAAATTTCTAGAAGGACGCTGAGTTTCTTTCTGTCTTTCTTAAGGTATTTTCAACCTGAATAAGTTTATTTCTGCCCATATATTTCATATGGACTTTCCAATTGAAATACACTCACACGCATATCCATTGTTTATGTACATATTATTTCCACATTTTGGAGCTTTTAATTCCTTTGTGAACTAAAAACAAACACTCATGATTAGATTTAACAAGGACTTCTGGGCCTAATCACACAACAGTAGCTTTAGAGAATTTAGATGGAAATGTATTATTTCATGCCTACTTCAGTAAGTAGAACATTCCAAGATAAAGCCATCTATCTCATCACTTTACCTGGTTGTTGATGCATGAGCAATAATATTTCCTCCAATAGGTTTCTTAGGATCTGCGGCAAACATGGCTGCTCCATCTACTTGGGCTACCACCTGGTTGGTTATTACCACAGCTACACCAAACTGAAGTGAAAAGAATGAGTGTCATTTTTCTGTGGCTGAAGACATTTGAAGAGCCTCACTACCACCATCCTTCCCCATTAATATCTCTCTCTATATCTGATAGTTGATGATACCAGGCCCCAATACCTCCTGCAAGGCTCCTAGAATTCTTGCCCCTGAAAGTAGGTATGCTTTGTCCCTACCCCACAGCTTACCTCATCAGCAAGTCGCAGAAGCATCCTCAGAAATCTGGCCAAATGCATTTGCCTGGCTGAAAGCTCGCCTCGACCCGAATAGTCTGTTCTGTAGAGGGCGGTGGCACTATCTACAATTAGCAGTGCATACCTACATGGAACAAGGGCTCTATGAAGTCTAGCACATTTGTTTTCTCACTAGCCTAGTTACTGCTGTAAATAATTTTGTGTTGTAAATAATTTTGCAATCGTAAATATTTGTATTGCATTCCTGTCTAAGGCACCAGATATTAAGGTAAGATTTCTAAGTAGGGGTGAACCGTGGCTTTTATCTTTTAGATACCAGGGATCAAACCCAGGACTTCACATTCTACTTCTACAACTGAACCACATCTTCAGCCCCCAGGTCTCCATACATGCTAAGAATGCAATCTACCAACTGAACTACATCCCTGATCCCTATTTCTTCATTTAAAAAAAATTTTTTTGTCCCAATCTAACCACAAAGCAAGGTTGTCAACATAGAAACTGAAACTCTACTCTCCCATTTCTACATCAAGCTATTAAATTGAGCCAAACAAGTTATATTCAAGATAAAGGTTCTAAAAGCACATTCAATGTTTTCTGCACATACCTGGACTCTACCATCATGGCTGATGCTTGATAAAGGAGCTGGGTCTGATGATCTGTGTTGAATCCCCGAGCATATGCTACATTATCCAGCACATCACTGCCAGAGAGCCCATACCTAGAAGAAAGCACATATTTAACCTGCATGTAGAACCTGTACGAGACACTTACCTCTAACAATAAAATTATCTAGATGGATAGGTAAGAAATGGTATTTAAAGAGCATAGTTTCTTTTCTATTAGAACACCAGGTAAGGTATATAGAGATGACAGTTTCAGTTACTTTGGAGTAGGTCTACCTTGCAGAACTTAGGAAAAACCAACACCGTTCTTTGGGAAGTTCTGAATTAGAATGAGTAATTCCCATATAAGCAAACAATGCTCTCCTGGAAAAGCCAAACAGAAAGGACAGAATTGGGATTGAAACAAACTCTCTAGATAGATAAATCCATATAAACTATTGTTATAGAGGAACAAAATTTTTAAAGCAAAGACTCAGAATTTGTGGGGGTGAAGTGATAGTACAGCAGGTAGGGTGCTTGCCTAGAATATGGCTGACCGGGGTTCAATCCCCAGCACCCAGTATGGACCCCATAGCCTGCCGTGAGCGATCCCTAAATGCCACCAGATATGGTCCATCTCCCACCCCCCAAACAGTCAAAATTTATATAGAAGTTCAAAAGCAGCAAATAAGCATATTTAATTTCTCAATTCACCCATATTCCCCCTCATATTATGTTAAATGAGTGATAAATCTTTTGTTTTGTTCTGGGTCACACCTTGCAGTGCTCAGGGGACCGGATAGGGTGCTAGGAATTCAACCTGGGTCAGCTGTGTGCAAGGCAAGTGACCTACCCACTGAACTATCTCTCTGGCTCCTTCCTTTGCATTTTAAAAAGGCAACAGACATCCTGTTTTCTTGGAAATTCTCAACTTTGAAACTGCTGCCTAAAACATGAATGCTCAAGGCAAATTAAGACAATTATTCTCATTAACAATACTATAAGCAGGGCCAGAGCGATAGCACAGCAGATAGGGCAATTGCCTTGCATGCGGCCAACCTGGATTCGATCCTCGGCACCCCATATGGTCCCCCAAGCACCGCCAGGAGTAATTCCTGAGTGCAGAGCCAGGAGTGACCCCTGAGCATCACTGGGTGTGACCCAAAAGGAAAAAAAAAAGAATACTATAGAATACTATAAGCCCTGAGCACACCCCCCCCCCCCAAATCTCCAGAAGGGAAGATCTATAGACACAGTAGATTAGAGGTTACCTGCTATTGGCAGTAGGAACAGGAAATAATGGCAAATCACCTTCCTCCCACCTCCCTTTTGGGTCATACCCGGTGCTTGCTTACTCCTGGCTCTGTGCTCAGGGAGTACTCATGGTGAGGTTCTAAAGACCAGATATGGTGCTGGGGATTGAACCAGGTTAGTCCCTATCGGCAGTACTCTCTTAGCCCTGAACTATCAATTCTGTTCCCTTGATCTTCTTTTCCCCCCATGTGTGTGAAGGTAGTTTTTATCGACTTACTTAGAAAGTTGTGAGAGGAGAGAAAGGAGAAGTGTGTGTTCAAGAGAGAACACAGACTTCTTGAGAGTGGAAATGGCAAGTAAAGAAACAGAGAAGCGAGACATGTAGTTCAAGGGAGAACACAGGCTTGGAGAGCAGGCCTATTACACTGATCTTATGCCTATCCTTATGCCTACACTACACTTCATCATTTTTGGGGATCAGGGCAGGATTTGGGCAACTCAGAGGCTAGTTCTGATTTGGTGCTAAGGGGAGCATATGTGGTGCTGACAATCTGGAGCAGGGTTAGACCCACCATAGCCACATACAAGGCAAGTTCTTTTCCTGTACTGTATCTGACCCTGCACTTAATCCTGAGTGATTATGGATTTACAATAAATTTTTTCATTAAGAAAAAAAGATGTCAAAAAAAAAAGTCGTTTTGTTTTTTCTCCCCCCAAAACAGTCACCTTTAGAATGTTGGGATAATATTTATAGGAGATTTCTCATACGAAACCCGCAGACTGGTGGGATATAGTTAAGAAACTCAATGAACAAACAACTCATCAAGAATACTTTAGACTCTCATTCAGATTTGAAGGAACCACACACAACTTCACGCATAAGCAACAACTCAGGAACTTCACTGACTCAAAACTGTTCTAAAAGATGTTTTAAAAGAATTGATGTTTCCACATAAATTCGATAAGCTTGTTAATTTCTACAGAAAAGTCTGCTGAAATTTCAGTAGGGACGGTTGACTAAATAATGCTTATCTCTTCTGAAGAAAGTCATTCCTCTGAATCACACACAGGACTTTGGAATATGAAGCAATACGGTAGAGAAACTTCAACCAGACTGTGGCAGTCACTCCAGAAACACATGCACCCATGTTTCTTACCTAATCCAGTAACCTACCTTTCAGCCACTGCTAGCAGACGTTCAGGCCTAAAAGTACCCTCAGTGTCAATGTACATGGCCTTTCCCTCACCGCCACCACGATCAATGGGAAGCTAGAGAGAATACAAAGAATAGCTGAAATGGACACTAATTTCTCCATGACCACGACAGGCATGCTACTCACGGCTACCTATAATGCAAAAGACACAAGTACTTAATTTTTTTATTTTAATTTCTTTGGCTTTTTGTGTTTTACCCAGTGAAGTGCAAGGGTATAACCCCTCACATCCAAAGTAAGTGTTCTTAAATCACTACCAGAGCAACATGTTTATTTTCTCTTGCTTGTACTTTAAAGTAGCTAAGAATATACCTGAGGTATTGCCAGCCCCCCTCCTTTTTTGCTTTTTTGGGTCACACCCAGCGATGCATAGGGGTTACTCCTGGCTCATGCACTCAGTAATTACTCCTGGCAGGGCTCAGGGAACTATATGGGATACTGAGGATCGAATCCGGGTTGGCTGTGTGCAAGGCAAATGCCCTATCTGCTGTACTATCACTCTGTCCTCAAAGTCACAAGCTCTTTAAAGGGACATTTGGAGGTTGGGCTATAGCAGAGTTGTAAAATATATGCCTCACATGTGTGAAGCCCTAGGTTTGATCACCAGAATCTCAACAAAAACAATAAATTTAAAAGAATCAAGTGACGATCAGAAGTAGGGAGGAAGTATTCCCTTCTGACAGAAATTGTCACATAAGCATGTGAGGTTAGAGTTTCCTATAATTGAATTGCTCAGATATGAAGTCCAAAGTAGAGGGTAAGTTCTATGACTGTATAAACAACATAAGAATGATCAGTTCTTGCAAGTGTACAAATACTTGGACAATCATTTACCTTAGCCTTAAAGATAAGGTGCATTTATCCAATACCCAATTAATTTCACCTATGCAGACAAAACAACACTTTACTGAGGAGAGTTCATTCCATGGGGGAGATGGAAAGAGGTGGTCATAGTTACTAAAAGGGACTGGCAAGGGTAGTGAAGTGCAAGGGTATAACCCCTCACATCCAAAGTAAGTGTTCTTAAATCACTACCAGAGCAACATGTTTATTTTTTCTGGCAGGGGCTGGTGCGATAGCACAGTGGGTAGGGCGTTTGCCTTGCAGGCGGCCTATCTGGGTTCGATCCCCAGCATCCCATATGGTCCCCCGAGCACCGCCAGGAGTGATTCCTGAGTGCATGAGCTAGGAGTAACCCCTGTGCATCGCTGGGTGTGACCCAAAAAGCAAAAAAAAGGGGGGGAGAGGGGCTGGCAATACCCCAGGTACATTCCTAGCTACTTTAAAGTACAAGCAAGAAAAAATAAACATGTAGCTCTGGTAGGGATTTAAGAACACTTACTTTGGATGCGGGCTGGAGCGATAGCACAGCGGTAGGGCGTTTGCCTTGCACGCAGCCAACATGGCCGACCCGAGTTTGATTCCTCCGCCCCTCTCGGAGAGCCCGGCAAGCTACGGAGAGTATCTCGCCCGCACGGCAAGCTCCCCGTCACGTATTCGATATGCCAAACACAGTAACAACAAAATCTCCAATGGAGATGTTACTGGGCCCGCTCGAGCAAATCGATGAACAACGGGAGGGCCTTTACCTTTTACCTTTTTACTTTGGATGTGAGGGGTTTGACCCTAGTGCCAAAAAGAAAGAAAAAAGAGAAAGATAGAAAGGGAGGGAGGCGGTGGAGGGAGGAAAAGAGAAAAGGGGAAAAAGAAAAGGAAAAGACTTGAAATCAAAGATCTAGAAGCTCTTTAGGAGGGAGTCACAAGACTCTCTCTTTTAACTACTATACAATTCTAAAGGACAGAGAAAGTATCCTGTGTGCCTTTCCCTACAGATGCTTGCAAATAGTGAGAATCAACATATTCTTGCTGATTTGATTAGCTAGAACCTCAACAACTCACCTGACATGTTACGGCCAATGTATGACAGATCTGGGTCTTCCCAGTTCGAAATTCTCCAAACATTTCTGTGATAGATCCAGTCTCAATTCCTCCTAGAACAGCAATAAATACCTTAGTGTAATAAAATGTTTAGAAATAACAGTTATATAAATGTCCTTGGATGGGGCCAGAGCAATATTACAATGGGTCGGATGCTTGCCATGTACAAGGCTGACCTAGGTGTGATCCTTGGGAACACATATGGTTCCCAAAGCATCCCCAGGAGTGATCCCTGAGCACAAAGCCAGATTAAGTAGTGAGTACCACTGAGTGTGACACAAAAGCAAACAAAACAACATCCTTGGACATCATCACAAAGATGTTCACTGTTTAGAAATCCAATTTTTAACAAGGAGTACCTTTTCTCCAGTGTTTGGGGGTGACCAGGAATACTGGCAGTGTAGTTAACAAAGGGTAGAGGGAGAGCATGTGTGCAATGCTGGGAATGAAACTCAGGGACTTACATATATAAATCTGGCATGATATACTCTATTACCTTGAGCCATATTCCCTGCACCCTTCAACAAGCAACAATTTTTAAAGTTTTTTTTAATTGTGAAGTAATTCTTGAGTTCCATCAAGTAGAGAGCTGGAAAGACAACAGATAGGACGCTTGCCTTGTATGTAGTTGACCCTGGTTTTAGTTATTTTTTAATTTTTTTTTAATTTTAATGTAGGAGCATTGCTATTTATTCAGTCATTGATTGGCTGATTGAATTAGGCATGAACTCCACATTGACCCTGGTACCACATATGGTTTGATAGGTGTGATGCCCAAGTACAGAGTCAGGAGTTATGTCCTGAGCACCACTGGTATGTGGCTTAAAAAACAACAACAACAACAAAAAAAAAACAATTGGGTTGAACAAACAGTACAAGGCAAGAGTTTAAGGCCCTTGCTGGTTCAAGTCTAGCACTGCATAGTCTCCTGAGCACAGATGGTAGAGACCCCCAAGGAAGCTGGGAGTAGCCTCCAAGCATCACCAGGTGTGGCCCTACAATGCCCCACCCACTAGAAAACTGAGTTGACAAGATATTAAGTAACTTACATCAATGCTGGGAGTGGAGACAGGAAGGGGGTAAAACTCAAATTAGTTTGATTCCTGAACCTGTTATTTTGACCCCTGGGGAATAGGGGAAGGGGAACATGAATCACATATTTCGGCATAATAAAATAACACATCTAATTAGTCATTTAGGACAGCTTTCAAAAGATAAAAAAACAATAGCTTTCCAAGAAGACCTAAAGATTAAAGCCAGGGAGAACCTGCATCTTTCTTCATTCCCCAAACACACCCACCACATGGTTCCCCAGCACTGATATGAGTGACCCAGAGCGAAGAGTGGGGAAACAGCCACTAGCACCGTAGGCTATGACAACAAAACAAGGTCTGAAGATTAGTGTATAGAACAACATATTGATAACATCTTGTTGGTGAACTTGGAATTATCTTTTCTTTGGTTTTGTTTTGCTTTTGGGTCACACCTGGCAGCGTTCAGGATTTATTTCTGGCTCTATGCTCAAGGATTGCTCCTGGTGGGGTTCAGGGGGACCTATGGAGTACTGGAATTGAACTCAGATTGAAAGTGTGCAAGGCAAGCATGTTACTCCATGACAATGTATTATGGCTTCAGACCCTCAACCAGGAATATCTCAATCAGATTTCCAACTTCATGTTAGGTTTCAATTCTTAAAAAAAAACCTCTAAAACTAACTTTCTGGTAGAGTGATTTATAGTTATTTAGGCAAAAGACGTTTACCCTCTGTATCCAATATAAAATGAAGAGTAAATTCAATTAGTAGATAATTTTAGTGTTTCGGGGCAATCCTTTTTTGTTTTGGCACTCTTTTGTATTTGGAGTCTAGTCCCTGTCTGCTCTTGAGCCACTCCAGGCACTGCTCAATTACCATAAAGTACTGAGGATCAAATCGCAGTCTCCTATATGCAAAGCATATGTCTTAACCTCTGTACTACCTCTTTGGCCCAATTTTACCATTTTTGGGGGGTTTGTTTTGGGGATCACACCTGGCAGTGCTCAGAGCTTATTCCTAGCTCTGTACTCAGAGATTACTCCTGGCATACTTGGGGGACCTTATGGGATGGACATGGATCGAACTCGGGTCTGCTGCATGCAAGACAAGCACCCTACCCACTTTACTATTGCTCCAGTCCCCCAATTTTAACATTTTGAAAGACTGCTCTAATTTCTTCAATGTGATTATCTATCTTAGCTCTCAACCACATCTAACATGTAACTCCTACCCAAATATTTTAATTTTGTTTTAAGACCTGGACACCACACTGAGGTTTGTAATGTATGAGAGGGGAAGATATACCTTGAAGTAGTTTGTCAAGCTCTTTGGAACCGGTGGTAATCTGTATGATCTCTGATCGCCGTTGGTGGAATTCAGTTGCAGTTGTGAAACCCATTGGAACTAACTTCGCTGCTTCAGTCTGGGAAAAGCAAGAAATGTCAGATTAAAATAAGCTTTGTAAAACAAGAACAAGGATTATAATGTCCAACAAATTTCCTAAGTGGTTTTCTTTTAAAAGTCATCGTAAGACTGGAGAGATGGTACAGAAGGTAAGCTTTGATCCTGGGCACTCCATATGGTCACTCTAGCCGGCCAGGAGTAATCCTGGAGTGCAGAAGTAGGGCTCAACACTGAGCAAGCTGGATATGGTCTCCCCTCAAAGGAAACGTGATTGGGAGGGGCCAGAGAGGTAATACAGCTGGTTAGGAGTTGCTTGCACGTGGCTGTCCCACACCAGCACTGCTCTTGGTTTATTCCTGGCTCTGCGCTAAGGGTCACTACTGATGGGTTCAGGGAACATAATGAGATACTGCAGGGAAGACAAGGCCCTACCCACTGTTCCATCATTCCGGTCCTCTCTATTTTTTATTACTATCATCCATGATTATATTCTACCATCCCTTCCTTCACAGTTGATGCTGTTGTGATGACAGGTGGTTGCATAAATGACTGGCTAAGTGCACGCACATCAAGTTGTCGTTCCTGCACATTCATCCACTGTGTTCACTCAGTTTGCTTGTTGTGGGTCAAACTATTTATCTGAAACACCAAGTTTTGTTATAATCCTTTTTAGGGGTTATGCTTCCTAGAATGGCACTTGTACATCTTTTCAGTGTGGTGTGGTGTTCCCCTAGGCCATATCTTTTGTAGTGCTTATATACACCTGGCTCCAGAAAGGCCAGAAATTGCTTATAGGAATCTCAGCAGCGCTATAGGAATCTCAGACAGCAGAGCTGCTAGACTCAAACAGCAGTGCTCTAAGAATCATAGTCATGCAGCTGTCAGGAGAGATGAAGTCTTGAACTTTGCTTATAAATGGATAGACATGGAGAGTATCATGCTAAGTGAGTTGAATCAGAAAGAGAGGGACAGACATAGAAGGACTGCACTCATTTGTGGAGTATAAAACAATATAACATGAGGCTGACACCTAAGGATAGTAGATACACGGGACAGGAAGATTGCTCCATAGCTGGAAGCCTGCCTCATGAGCAAAGGGGAGAAGGCAGCTGGAACAGAGAAGGGATCACTAAGAAAAAGATGGCTGGAGGAATCAGTCGGGATGGGAGATGTGTGCAGAAAGTAGATAAAGGACCAAACATGATAACCTCTCAGGGTCTGTATTGCAAACCATAATGCCCAAAAGTAGAGAAAGATTATGGGGAATCATGTCTGCCATGGAGGCAGGGAGAGGGTGGGAAAGGGGAGGTATACCAGGGATATTGGTGGTGGGGAATGTGCACTGGTGGAGGGATGGGTATTTGATCATTGTGTGATTGTAACCCAACATGAAAGCTTGTAACTATCCCACGGTGATTCAGTAAAATTAAAAAAAAAATTGTGATTGTATGTGGTATGTGGTAACACCAGAATTTAAAATCATGATCATATGGCTGCAAAACAGGCATTCTAAGCCACTGTACTATTCCTCTGAGCTCTACATGAGTGTTTCTCAGCCCTTTCTGACTATAGGCCCCTTCTGACTGATTTCCTTCCTGTGGTCACCTTATCAATTCCCTAGTCTTGTGCTAGGGACCCCCTATTTAGTTGATTTTTTTCACCTGTGGTCCTCTTACAAGATCCTGGGAGTTCATGGGGGGTTATATAGTCCTTAATCAGTTAATTTTCTTTTTCTTTTTTGCTTTTTGGGTCCCACCCAGAGATGCACAGTGGTTACTGCTGGCTCATACACTCAGGAATTACTTCTGGCGGTGCTCAGGGGACCATATGGGATGCTGAGAATCGAACCCGGGTCGGCCGTGTGCAAGGCAAATGCCCTATCCACTGTGCTATCGCTCTAGCCCTGTTAATTTTCAGCATTTATCCTGAAGTACTTTTATAGTGTTGTTATTCTTTACCTGTAAAGGTTTAGTTGATTTTTTTCTTTTGGCTTTTTTTTGGGCCACACCCGGCAATGCACAGGAGTTACTCTTGACTCTGCATTCAGAAATTACTCCTGGCAGTGCTCGGAGGAACATATGGGATGCTGGAAATTGAACCCAGGTAGACTGCATGCAAGGCAAACGGCCTACCCACTGTACTATGGCTCCAGCCCCAACCCATAAAGGTTTATACAGTGTAAAGCAAAGTATTTTCAGGGCCAAAGGGGTTAAGGCACTTGCCTTGCATGTGGCTGTCCCTAGTTAAATTCCTGGATCAGAGAGTCCCCCAGGCACCAATGGGTCCAACCACTGAGCAATGAACAGGGAATAACCCCACCACCATCAAAACAAAACAACAACAACAAAAAAATCCCACCACATTCTCTTATGCTAATTTAACTATTATCACCTGAATCTAATTTCTCTGTAAAAGTAATCTTCAAAAGCTAAAGAATCTTTGGTGCCCAGATAAATTGTGCAGGGGTTTACAGTACCTATCTTGCAAGAATATAGTCTTGAGTCCACCCCTGGTGCAATCATATCAAGTACAGTCCTGACAGTTCTGATGTCTGAGATCCCTGGCACCTGTGGCAATATCCAGGCACAACACAATCTGGTTTATCCAAGTATCACAAAGGGATGTGAACATGGGCAAGCACTAAGATATCCAAGTGCTAGGCTAGAGATGTGGCTTAATAGTAAAGTTCATGCTTTGCATGCATTAAGACCTGGGTTTGATCCCTGGCACTGAAAAAGAGGAAAGGATGTGGAGTGGGGGTTGGGGCACAAGAAGCCTTGATCCAATCTTCAGATTTGTTCTTGAAATCATCTTTTTTGGCTGAAGACCACTGCCTTTCACTGTAACCTGTTTGTATCATTCCCACTAATAACTCCCTGATTCACATAAGTAGTACCTACCAGAATTTTATCAGCTTTGGCTTCACTAATCCCCTTAATGTTTATTAGCTCCTTCTTTGGTGCATAAGCAACTGCCTCCACCGTATGGAATCCAGCTTCTTCCAGTTTTTTCACATCATTGGCATTTATACCACATTGCTGCAAGTGAGAAAAACCATGCATAAACTTAAGCTTCTGTTCTCTTATCTAATACAATATTTACTGACCCACTTCAAAGAGCTTTTAACCTTTCAAAAACAATATTTTGGGTTTTTTTTTTTGAGGGGGGCAGGTGGCCCCACATCTGGGGTAACTACTGGCTGGCTCTGCACTTAGGAATCCTTCCTGGCGGTGCTCAGGGGACCATATAGGGTGCTGGGGATCAAACCTGGGTTGGCTTAGTGTATGGCAAGTGCCCTACCCATCGTACTGTCGCTCTGACTCCTGTATTCCACTTCTTAAAAGAAGGCACCAAAAGGTAGTTTCTCTGTCTCTCTAAAGCCTTTGGTTTTTATTAGCCACAAAAACACTGGGGAAGTATGACATATTGGCTGGGTAAAGGTAAAGGTAAAGGCCCTCCCGTTGATCGTCGATTTGCTCGAGCGGGCCCAGTAACGTCTCCATTGGAGACTTTGTTGTTACTGTGTCTGGCATATCTAATACTCTCGGTAGCTTGCCGGGCTCTCCGAGAGGGATGTACATGTATTTTAGAGATGAGGGGAAGTTTGAGAGAAGAAAGAAAATAATATTTTACCATAGGAACCATGTCTGTCATTAATATTTAAGCAATAAACATGTATAGACATAAGAATACCTTGTTTTATTTTGGGGGCCATACCTGGAAGTGCTCAAGGCTTGCTTTGGTTTTGTGCTTAGAATCAATCCTGGAAGGACTCGGGGGGAACCATTGAGGGATTGGGGATCCACCCCAAGTTGGCCGCACAAAGGGCAGGTGCTCTAACCACCATACCATCTCTCCAGCCCCTAAGAATACTTTTGAGATCAAAATTTTAACTTTGGTACTCTCTCATATTTACTGAGAACTCATTTAAGTAACTTCTCAAGTCTTAAAATTTAACTCAGCACACAGCTAACTTGTTTGATTTCCAAAACACCACCAGGAAAGCACCTCAGCAGAATCAAGAGTAAACCATGAGCACAGCTGGGATGTGGCCCAACCCAATCTTCATTCCCCTTCCCCTCAACTTAGCTCATGAGCTGGGGAGATGACTCAAAGGACTGGAGTGCATGCTCTGCATTTAAGAGTCTCTAATTTGATATCTGTTATTACATGGTTTCCTGAGAAACACTGGGAGTAGCCCTCAGTCATCACCAGATATGTTCTCCTAAATACACCCCCCCGCCCTTGTGCCACAATTAGCATGTAATGGGAGGAATGTATGTAAAAAGGTATAAGAATAAGGTTCTCCCTGCAGCCCAAATCAGATGCACTCACACTGAACTAATATGAGTCTTGGTCTTAAGTTAAACCAATAGTCAATGTACAAGCTGCAATTTCTCCCATGAGATAGAAGACTCTAGTCCAGTTTTCTAATTCCAAAATTAGTAACATAAAATTAAGCATATACCTCTAATCGTGAAATAGGCTGTGGGCCAAAGCTTTCTTCTTCCACTGAAGTATCTGCATTTGCTTCAAGTTGCATCTGCATAGCCATTACTCAATGTTCAATACTGAAAAATAGAGAGGGCATCAGGAATAAAACCAGAGAAAAATAAAGCGCAGCAAGCTTGGTTTTACAAAAAACCTGAAAAATTACTTGATAGATTTTTCTAACCACTGACTTACCTGTGTGCTGGAGCAATAGCACAGCGGTCGGGCATTTGCCTTGTGCAGTTGGCCCTGCTGAGCCGGGTTCAATTCCTCCGCCCCTCTGGGAGAGCCGGCAAGCTACCGAGAGTATCTCACCTGCACAGCAAAGCCTGGCAAGCTACCCGTGATGTATTCGATATGCCAAACACAGTAACAACAAAGTCTCACAATGGAGACGTTACTGGGCTTGCTCGAGCAAATCGATGAACAACGGGAGGACATTGACAGTGACTTACCTATGCAGAAAAATGAACAAATCTCGTACTAGCTTTCCTTCCACTTAGATCAGAAGAACCAGCAAGACCAGCACTGTGTTTAATTACGTCAACTATGTCCCCCTGCTTTTACATTTTTTGAAGGTAAAGAGAAGTCCTATTTTTTTCCCCTAACATGTGGAAGTGCTCAAGGACTGCTCCCAGCTTGATGTTTGTGGAAGCTCCTATGGCGCTTGATACTGACCTCAGGCCTCCCACAGGCAGAAAGTGGTCAAGCCCTTTGAGCTGTATCTCCTGCCCCCTGGTTTTGATTTCTGGCACTGCACGCTCCCCCCCGCCCCCCCAAAAAAAGGAAGAAAAATTTACTGGGCTAGGCAGATAGCTCAAACTCAAAGGGCCCAACACCATGCTTAGCAAGTGAGATCCCGGCACTGCCTGGTTCCCTGAGCACTGCAGGAAAAGGTGCTCTGCACCAAGCTAGCAGCAGGGAACAGAACCTGAGCATTGCTGGATGTGGTCCCCAGATATATTTGTTTTTTAATAAATAAATTTTCTGGGTATGGCTCTGGTGGTCTCCAAGAATGGCCGGTTATGTTCTCAATAACAATTAATTATGTTGATCTTTTCTTTTTTGGGGGGCCAAACTCGATGGTTCAGGGTTTTACTCCTGACTCTGAGCTTAGGAAATTCTCCTGGTAGTGCTCAGCGGTCCAGATGGGATGTCAGGGATCAAACCCAAGTCAGTCATATGCAAGGCAAATACCTGCTGTACTATTATTCCAACCCCTAAACTGGTCTTTATCTACTGTCAGTTTCTTTAGCAAAAGCGTTTTTCCAACCATATGAACCTAGATAGGATGAGGAAGATTTTCTTCACTACAGTTTGGCAATCAGAATATATAAAGAAGTCATTAAAATCTTCACAAGAGCATCCAAGAGCCTCTTCCTGTTCGTTCCCAACAGTGTGCGGGTCTTCTTCTGCCCCAGTTCAGTTTATCAGTCAGTATTCCAACCCGGGACTTGGCTTTCTCTGCCCACGCGCCCCAGGTGTCCTCTAGGACCCTGGGACGCCCAGCATCCCTAAGCCTCTTCTTGTTCGCCCCCAATGCTGTGCCGGTCTCCCCTCCAGGTTTTACCCCACACACACCAGGTACCTGTGGGGGCGGGGCCTCTGCAGAAGTGGGCGTGACCTCTACAGAAGTGGACGTGGCCTAAATTTGGGTGGTTGACTCATACCCAGAAATCTAGTGTAATATCTCAGTCCCCATACCTACACACCGCAAATCCCCACCACTGTGGGGAGGATGATGAAAAGAGTCCAGAAGCCTCAGTAGATGTTACTCACTTAAGGGACCTCTCTAAGAAATAATTCAGATATGAAGTAATGAAGATGTTCAATGAACTCAATGAAACAGTGAGACAGATATCCAGTAAATTAAAGGAGGACATGAGAGAAACAATCAAGAAATTACAGGAAAAAATGAGAACAGAAATTGGAAAGCTATGCACAGAAATGTCATGAATTAAAGATTCTGTAGATGAAATAAAAAACTCAGTCTGCCCTCAACAGCAGAATGACCACAGCTGAAGACAGAATCTGTGAGCTGGAAGATCAGCTGCACGAAGCCAACAGGCAAAAACAACAAGAGACCTCAAAATAGCTCTAGAGTGAATCAGAGTCCTAGGAGATGACTCCAAGAGGAACAACATTAGAATTATTGGAGTACCGGAAAGTCAGGGAAACAATCCCAATGAAAAAGCCACGGTTAAACAAATCATTGCTGAAAAACTCCCAGAGCTGGGCAATGCAGCCATTCAGATTCAAGGAGCCTAAAGGGTGCCAGCTAAAAGAGACCCTAACAAAAACAGTCCAAGACATATCATAGTTAGAATGATGGATGCTGCGGATAGAGACACAATATTGCAAGCAGCAAGGGCAAAGAAGGAAATCACATACAAAGGAGCACCCCTTAGATTCATAGCAGATCTATCAGAGGAAACCCTCCAAGTCTGAAGGCAATGGTGGGATATAGTGAAAAAGCTCACTGTAATGAACGCTTCACCAAGAATACTCTATCCGGCTAAACTCTCACTCAAACTCGAAGGAATCGTTCACTATTTTCTGGATAAACAGCAGCTCAGGAACTTCATAGACTCAAAACCAAACCTAAAAGAAGGGCTAAACGGCCTACTATAAGAGAAGACAAACCCTACAAGCACAACACACCCTTACAGAAAGATGACTCAAAACCCCATAACAATAATCGCTCTCAATGTCAATGGTCTAAATTCACCAATTAAGAGACACAGAGTGGCAAAATGGATTCAGAGATAGAACCCAACGTTCTGCTGCCTACAAGAAACTCATCTGAACAGTCAGAGCAAACACAGACTCAAAGTTAAAGGATGGAAAACAATCTTGCAAGCAAACAGCTCCCTCAAAAAAGTTGGGGTGGCCATATTAGTATCCGACAACATAAATTTCAGGTTGAAAAAGATTAGAAGGGACAGCGAAGGCCATTTTCTCTTCATCAAGGGATATGTACAACAGGAAAAAAAATCACACTCTTACATGTATATGCACCTAATGAGAGAACAGCTAAATATTTAAAACAACTACTAACAGATTTTAAGCAGGACATTGCTAGCAACACAATCGTAGCCGGAGACTTCAACATCGCCTTATCACCTCTGGATAGATCAACAAGAACAAAACTCAGCAAGGAAACATTGGCTCTGAAGGAAGAAATAGAAGAAAGAGGGCTTATAGACCTATACAGGGCTTTACACCCCAAAAAGAAAGAATACATATTCTTCTCCAGTGCACACACACAGACACGGAGAACCAAATCAAACACCTGGAAATTAAACAACTCAGTGTTGAACAAGTGGGTCAGGAAGGAAGTCAAGGACGAAAGCAAAAGATACCTGGAAACAAATGAGAATGAAGTCATGAGCTACCAGAACCTATGGGATGCAGCTAAAGCCGTGTTAAGGGGAAAATTTATAGCTCTGCAAGTATTTCTCAGGAAGGTAGAAAGGGTCCACATAAACAACTTGACTTCACAGCTCAAGATCTTAGAAAAGGATCAACAAAAGGAGCCCAAATCAGGCAGAAGGAAAGAGATCATAAAACTTAGAGCAGAAACCAACGACATGGAAACCAAACAAACAATCCGAAATATCAGTGAAACCAAGAGCTGCTTCTTCAAGAAAATAAGTAAAATAGAAAATAATAATCATATATATGTCATGGTCACGGTTCTCCCGTTGTTCATTGATTTGCTCGAGCAGGCCCAGTAATGTCTCCATCATGAGACTTGTTGTTACTATGTCATTCTGAATTTAAAAAAATAAGTAATGTGGAATTCATGCCCAAATCAATCAGCTTATTCAATGGCTGAATAAACAGCAGTACTCCTACATTAAAAAAAAAGTTACCCCTAGCACTGCCAAGAGTGAACCCTGACTGGGACCACTCCCAACCCCACTCCACACTACCAAGTATGGCTCCAAAACCAAAAACAGGGTAATAAAAAAGTAATCTAGCAGAAAAATAACCCAACAGAAAAATAGATAAGAGCCTTTAAAAAGCCAGTAGCAATAGAAAATACTCAAAGGGGCAGCTGGTACTCAGGAGCGATAGTACAGCAGGTAAGGTGTTTGTCTTGCACCCACAGCCCACCCAGGTTTGATCTCTAACACCCTATATATGAGTCTCAAGCTCCACCAGGAGTGATCCCTGAGCACAGAGTCATTAGGAGTTCCAGCATCGCTGAGTGTGGCTCCCAAATCAAAATAAACAAAAAAGATGACATCAGGGGTGTTCTGTGTGGTATGGCCGTAGACTAAACAAAAAAGAAAACATTAAACTGATCAGTAAATGTGAACAGATGGCCAACTTGCTTGATGATTAGGAAAATTTAAATCAAAAGCAAAATACTAGTCTCTTCGACTATAATTTTCTAAAGACAGGAGCAAATGTCAACAAGCAAGTGCAATAATTGAACTGAAACACAGCAGGCTAGAGTGAAAACTGGCCTCAAGTATGGGAGATGAGGGGCTGGAGCGATAGCACAGAGAGCAGGGCGTTTGCCTTGCATGTAGCCAACATGCCCAGGTTTGATTCCCAGCATCCCCCAGGCACCGCCAAGAGTTATTCCTGAGTGCAGAGCCAGGAGTTAACCCCTGAGCACTTGCCAGGTGTGACCCAGAAAGCAAAAAAAAAAAAAAAGAAAAGAAAAGTATGGGAGCTGAAGCCTGACAAAGGCTCTGCCCTGGTAATCTCAGGCAGCTCAGGCTAGACAAAGTGGGGCACCCAGATAAACACGGTGACGTTACTTATATATAGTCAGGCAATTCAGTCACTGCACTACAAGCCAGTGCAGGGGCTCCTTGGAGGCCGTGTGGGATGCTGACAGTATTCTAGATCTTGACTGGATCGTCACTAGGCTCCATTCATTCTGCGATCACTCCTGGGTGTCGTGTACACGGGTGTATTTTACCTTCCCTTCAGGGGTTTAAAAAACAAAAGCTCGGGGCTGGAGAGACAGCACAGCGGGTCAGGAGCTGGCTTTGCATGCAGCTAACTCGGGTTCAATCTCTGGCATCTCATATGGTCCCTGGAGCACCAGCAGAAGGGACTCCT